GCATCTGACGGAGTTGCAGCCGCTGTTGAAGGAAAACCGTCACTCGGGCCCGCCTGCCGCACCTGTGAGGTTGTTGGAGATGAAGTCCGCAGTCCTGGAGACCTGAAAGGGAGGTCTGGCCCCACTGCACTGTGAAACAGAACGGCCCGCGTTTGTCGTGCTGGTTCCATCAGAAAGTTCTTCCGCACATGCGATCCGGATGTTGCCCAAGGTAGGCCGCCGGAAAGGCAAGTCTCACTTACTGGGTCGGACTACGTCATTGTCACGGGACTCTGCGCTTCCGGCAGATTCTCAATGCTGAGCCCCTTCATTGCTGGTACCCTTTGCGTTCATATTGTGTTCTTGCATCTGCATGCAGTCAGGCATCCCTGCGTGGCCGTTTGCCTGTCAAGTTCGGGCCTCCACATCTCCCATGCTACCCAAGCAAGAAGTTCTCCTCACGACGCAGCACATAGAGCCGCCAGGTGCAGAATGCAGACACTCCAGTACAAGCCTCGTAGCCAATGTCTACGATGTAGTGCGCCCTTGTCGCCATCTGGGGCCATGCTGCCCGGCAGCACGTTGGAAGGTTAGAATGGCTAAAATGCGCATTGTCTGCGGTCGACTTCAGATCGGGGCAGAGCCCGTGACGATTCAAGCCCGGGCAAGGAATCCACTGCTGTGAAAGCCCAGGTTTAGAACTGAAACGACAGATTCACGAGACACCCACCAACTGTGAACCTTGGGAACCTGGATGCAACCAAGATTTAGCACGATAGTGACAACGCATTTGCTGATGGTGTCAGGTATGTCGACGGGTGGAATCGTGCCTCTCGAACAGCCTTAGCGAGTGAACCAGCATGAGGTTTGCCGGAGCCGCGAACAGGGCCGTGGCTGCTGTGGCGGTTCCAGTCTGGAACTGATCTCATGCACCTCTGCCATCTGAAGAGGCCCATACTTTCCAAAAGCCAGCAGACCGACCATCGACAATTGCATCCAAGCTTGCCGAATAAGTCTTTGGCTGCATCCTGTTCAGGAAGAAGCACCTGAGAAATTTGATTTGGGCCAGGCTGACAGCAAGTGAAGAGGAGCTGAAACAAAAAGAGTCGTCTGCCATTCTTCTTTCCAGGTTTGTTGCATATGGACTTGCCTTGGTGGCGCAGCCGCTGTCGCAGCCCGGCGCTTCGGAGCTTCTCTCTCAGCCATTCCGGGTCCCTCCCGAAAACGCCAAGGTCCAGCGAAGGATGGGCTTTTGGCTCTGCCCGGCCTGCCCGGCCAGCGCGGCCTGCGTGGCCAGGACTGGGTTAAAGAGTCGCGTGTCTGCTGCTCGCGTACAGCTCGAAGTGCTCATCTGTACGTGCACTCTGAGCGCTAAGCCGTGGTTGGTGTTCTGCGTCAGAGACTGGATCCTTGCCAAATGCGTGACGAGTCTCCTGACATAATACTTGATATGGGTGGTCCCTTGTTCCTCGTTCGCGATGAACGGTGCATTCTTGCTCAGGCTCAGGCTTTCAGGGTGTCGAACAAGTGCGGAGGCGCATGGAGCAGCACACTCTGAACAAAAACATCCAACAACATGACCCGAGTCGGAATGTGTGTACGGTGTACGGTCAGCCGGCCAGCAACCGGCACAGAGAAGTTCATCTTTTCTCGCGCTTCGAGCAACAAGTGCTACCGATTGCCAAATAACCGGCGGGAAGTCCCGCACTGCCGTTCTATCAGGGCTCTTCTCAGGCAATCAACGATTTGTTTTCGTGTGGGCGGCTCAGCCCTGACATCTTGAGCCCAGACATCCCTATCACCTATCAGAACGGCTGTGTAACATGCTGTAGCCAGTATGTACTCGACTGTGACAGGAACTGCGCCCGTCTGGACCTCAGGACCTCAAAAAGTCTGTTCAACACATTTGCACAGCTGCCTTCCCGCAAACACAGCGGCTTCTGCCAGCACCAGACTTCCGATTTCACAGCCATGTCAGACCGAGGGCTGGGCCGGGGCCCTCAAGTCTCCACCCTCACCCTACTACTCGAATCTGGACGAGCTTCTCCTAGGAGTACTACTCAGCTACTCGTTTGAAGTAGCTTTGATCGAACAACACAGCAAGAGTGCATGCAGATGGAAATAGGGTTAAGACGGGTTAAGAGGTGGGAAGAGGTCTGAGGCAAGGGTGGTTGAAACTTTTTTGAGGATACACTAAAACACTTAGGAATATCTCCCCGGGCCGAAAGTTTCGAGCTACAAGTGTACTAACTAGCATACAAGATCTTGCGGAGCAGCGGAGCGCCTCAAACTGTCGCTAACCCTACGCAGGCTAGCGGAGTAATTTCTACCCCGTTTCAAAATTATAGTACTTTTTAGTTCCGGAGGAGGCCCCAGGGCTCACTTGTGTTAGGAGTCTAGGGGGAAGAGGGTGGGGGCAGGGGTCAACTTCCTTGTTGAAGCTAGTGGGCGGCGCAGTAGGGGAAATCCGAGCTGAGGGAAAGCATAGGAGAACATAGGATTGTGCTGACAATGAACCATGTTCGATGCTTTTTCGGTATGTACATCGAAACCTAGGATTTCCCACCCAAATCTGATTTTAATCAGTTTTTTCTCCTACTTTAGCCTATATTTCCCTTATTTTAGAGAAAGGATACGGGAACATACGAGCATAAAATGAAAAAAGCACGGGTTTGTTCGAGGCTGTTTCGATTTTTGCATCGAAGCCTAGGATTTCCCACCGCAATCATTATTTTTAACGCTATTTTTGAAAATCCTGAATTCCTAAATGTAACCTGTTTTTTCCTAACATAGGTTTTCAAGGACTTGTGACTAACCCAGTACCCCACGTCTCAAGAATAGGGCATTGCATTCTGCTGCAGAAGCGCATCGCATGAGGTTCGGCAGTGCAACGGAGCAATCCGGTGAAAGACAAGAACATAAACCGCTTGACCAGATCTGGAGAAAGGTTTTCAATGCAATGGCTTGAAGAGCCTCCATTCGCACTCGTTGACTGACCAGCATTGACAATAGAGTGCTGTCGGTCATGTCGGACACGACTGCAAAGAGGGCATTTGGAGAACTTTGGCCATCTTTGGCCACGGAATCCGAGAGTCCAGGGATTTGGACTCGACCGGTGCCCGGTGAAAAAGCAAACGCTGTCTTTGAGTCTTCGAACTGTAAGAACATGGTTTGGTTCCAGTGCAAATGCCTGCAGTGTCCAAAATAAATTATCTTGAACCGTGAATGTTACAGCTCCCTTGCCCACTACGACAATGCCGGAAGGCGTAGTGAACGAGGCGAGTTTTGTTTCTCTTCGCATCGTCAGTCTAGCTTGCCCCGGCGGTACACAAGCCAAACCCATTCTAAACATGGCTGCACTTGTCACGGACGAGAAGCTCACTGTTGCGTCCTCGGTGGGGTCGTCGACCACATCGTGGCGCGCTGCATGGCACTTTGCTATCACGGCTTCAAGGATTATGGTGGTTGTATTATTTTAGTTTTCTTTGTTTATCGCGGCGGTTGTAGGTTTTTCGTCCGTTTCTGGGATTCCAAGCAAGCAAGCAAGCAAGAAAGCAAACAAGCAAGAAAGCCAGCAGGTAAAAACGCAAGCAAGCAAGCGAGCGAGCAAGCGAGCGAGCGAGCAAGCCAGCGAGCAAGCCAGCGAGCAAGCACAAAGGCATGCAGGCACGCCGGCAGTCAGGCAGTGAAGCAGAACGACATCTTGCATGGGTTGTGCGAGGTTGGGTATCCGTACGTCCTCGTGAATTAACCTTTTTTTTGAAAGCGCTTCCTTGCAGTTGCATGCGGCACAGACCACCTGTCAGAACAGTATGTGCATGAAGTCTAGTGCATGTAGTATTCTGCAAAGAGCGGCACGTGCCGAAGGAAACAATGAAGACCTTGTAATCAGAAAAACCAATGAAAGACCTATGGTGCAGGTCGCATCATAGCGTGGTAGCATGCAGTAGTAGGCGTGCAGCACTGGGTAGCCTGTCTCTGCGCCGTATGTTGTCAGAACCTGCTTGTCTGCATGCCAAGCATGTGAAGAAGAACGGCTTGCCGGCGAACTTGTTGATGGCTGAAGTGAGAAAGGATCGGCATGAGAGCCAAAGTCCAGGAGGGTGCTACAGCACTAAACAATTTTCCCTCATGTACAGGCCGTTCTGCAAAATACCATAGTCTCAATAGGAGAAGGAGCAGACAGACGGAAAAACCGATGCAACATACAAAACCGCCCCGAGAAAAACTACGAAACTAATCTCGCGACCGTTTTTGGCTTCCCTTCCGGACTCTCCAGGCTCTTATCCACTGGGATTCTTCGCCTCCGGTTGTCGGGTTCGTTAGACTTTTGGCTTCCATCTTCTTGGCCTTGAGGCATGAACATGCATGTGCTCGAGCTCGTCCATGTTTTGCCGATGAGGCACTGCACCACCCCAACCGCGGATGCAATCCGGATTCTCTTCCAACACACAAAACCGGATCGGACATGTCAGGGCCGCAACCCTGGTGACAAGTTTCTATTTTTGGAGGCTGACGACATCGTCACAACTGGCACGGCAATGGCACATGCACAAGACCAGCATTCTGCCAAGAAACCTTTCCGCAACAACAAAGCCGACAATCAACGATCGAGAATTTTGTTGCCCCATCAGTCCTTCTGTTGCAAGGCAAGCAAGCTTGTCAAGATAATGTGCAGTAGTTTCGATGATAGTAATGTCATGTTGTTTATTGTGCTGAGGCCATAGCTCCTTTGCCGATTCACCCGGTGTGGTCTAGAGGCGCCAGGATCTGCCAGCGTATGTTTTTTGTGCCTGCTGATGATAGTGCGGGCACGGTGTGCCAGCTTCGTTGTTCCAGGCTATATACATTTACGCAATGTGCAGGCTTCGCGTTCGTGTTCGTAGCTTGGGGCTTGCAGGGTGAACGGACACTCGAACATGTAGTGCTAAGCACATGCAACCGCGAGATACCCGCGAGAGGAGTCACTTGACACGCGAGGGTGTTTTAAAGCATCGAGAGCCGCTGACTGGCGCGATGCCATGCGCTTTTGCAGCAGCCGACGTCAGCATGCGGCTGTCGCTGTGGTGGCCTTATCCATAGATGCATTCGCCCAACCCCGGCGACATGCGTGCCTCCGTGACAGTTGCACTCCATTATCTCCATCATCATCAGCATTTGGCTCCTGGTCAGGCACTGTGACCATCGCCAGTGTAGCTCTACAACACCGAATTGTTTTTCTAGAGTCTTGTCCTTTCTGCCAGACTCTGCAGGGGTCAATTGGATGCGGCGGCCGCCTTGAATCTGAACTCCCTGCTAGAGAAATTTCACGTGCCGCTGGGTCTTGAACCAAGGACTCATTCGTGACGGCCAGAAACGTGAGGCCACTGAGGCCGCGGAGCGGAGGAGCCGTAAAGACTCCCTGAGAAATACTGAGAATTCACGTTGTGCTGCCTTGGCCGGGACGCTAAACAGGCATCAACGCATCTCACAAGCCGCCTGTACGGGCGGCAATCTCAGACCACAGCTGCTTCTGTCGACGCTGTGGATGTTCTGCCGTTCTGCCTGTGCCTGACAAGTCTGACAAGGTCAAGGAGAAGGGACACCGTGGCGACCAGGGCCAGCAAAGGTCTGCAGAAACTTTTTGTCCTGTAGCCATTTTTGCCAATGATTCTGCTTTGCCAGTTTTGTTGGGTCGTGTGTAAGCGAGGCGTGCATGCCTGCCATCATCACAGAGCTTGAATCTCGGATGTGGCAGACCCTGCAGTGCCTGCCAGTGCCTGCAGGTGCGCAGCCTGGCAGGGCAGAAGGCCCGGCAGCCGCTTGGTCTTTTGCTGCGGGATGCTGCGGGCAGTGCAGGGTAGGACGCTTGTAAGCGTGCGTATCTTTGCGTCCAAGGCTTTTGGTGGAGAATCCGGTCCTTTTCGAGGCGAGGATTAGGATCCTCTGCGCAGTCGCTTGAAGCAGGTCAGGTGCCAAGGAACTGTCAGGCATCAAGGCGTAATTTTGGGCTAAGGGTACAAAACGGGTTTCGTGGAGAAGTGTTGGACTCGGTCGGCTAGGTCTCCGGACCCGCTTGTGCTTGTAGTGCACCTTGGATGTTGGGCTTCTCGCCACTGTACATGAGAACAGCCTAAATCCCCCCTGGCTTACGGCCCAGATTCATCGGTGGAGCCTTGGACTTCCCACATCTGCAGGTGAACTTGGAGGAAGAGCTGTCATCCCTATCATCAAGCCCAACATTGCCGATGCAGGCGCACGTTAGCCCGCGGATCCTATCCATCTATATATCATCGTTCATGTGCCGACATCATGGTCATCACCACGACCGATGCCATGATTATCACCACCAGTGAAGAATAATAGCAACAACAACGATAGTAATACTAAAATAATATGATGGTGAAGATGATGGCGCTGCTGCTGCTGCTGATGATGATGATGGTGATGATGATGTCGTTGTTGCTGCCGTTGTTGCTGTTGTTACCATTGCCGTTGTTGCCGCCGCGCGGCGGCTGCTGCTGCTGCTGCTGCTGCTGCTGCTGCTGCTGCTGCTGCTCATGTCATCGTCGAAACTACCACCCTCATCCAAATCATCGTCCTCACCGATTTCACTTATCATGTTATTCGGGCAGCATCGAGCATCGTCACTGGCACTGTCGTCGTAGTCGCCATCGAGGTCGGAGTCGGGGTGGTGGTGGCAGTGGCATGGCTTTGTGGGAGCATTTTCCAATCTGTTGCCGCCCCGTAGATCAGCACATGCGCACGTTCAGGATGGAGACAACCGCTCGACAAAGGACTCACGATCAATAATTAGAGGGTGTAGCATTGGATCCAGTCAGCGGCAGCACGTTGGCAAACAGAAGTCCCTTCGAGTGTGGGTAGCAGGATGCTGCGCTGGCCTCCTTGCGTGCTCGCATCCAGGAGGCCTTTCAGTCGCTTTGCCGGGACTTTAGCAGAGGTCGAATCAAAGCTCAAGCAAAGGTCTTAGATCGCTTGCAGACTCGAGACCTGCCAAGCCTGCTTCGTCCAGCTTTTTTTGCAACTCCGAGCTGTGCTGTAGAATTCCTGCAGAAGGGCTTGTGGTTAAGCAACTTTGTGCGCTCTAGCCGAGTGCTTCACGGGATTTCACAGGTAGGCTCGTTTCCCTGTCTAGCGTGGCCCTGTGGCCACCAAGGAAAAAGGCAGTTTTGTGTGCCATATGCAACGAGTTCTCGTATCAACGGTCAGGTAGGTCTGGGATAGGAGGGTCACACTGCATGTGAGCAGCTCGTTCAGGAACATTCAGGAACATGTCTGATGTGAGATCCTTCCGTGGCCATTTTGGGTGTCGAGGCGAGTGCCTCGTAGGTCCGCAAAGGATTTGTTGTGCGCATCTGTACACACATGACGTACACACATCTACATCTACATCTACATCTATATCTACATTTACATTTACATTTACATTTACATTTACATATATATGTATACATACATATACTTGTACATATATTCATATATTCATATACGCGTAGGTATATCTGCATATGTGGGCACGTGATGACTGGGGTCTCATGTCGTAATCTTTTGCATATCGCCCTTCCCATGTTTTTTTGCTGTTGTTAGTTCGAGGTTTTGGGCTGTCCAGCAAAACTCATGCTGACAGGCTGTGGTGATGGCCTGCACAAGCATAACTGCTGGTTGAAGACTCTGTTTTTGCTGAAGCGGGTAGGTGCAGGAGTCGGATCGTGGTCGCAGTGCGCATTGGCCTCGGATTTCTTCTACATGCATGGAATCAGACAACGCCCGCCAGTCGAGACCGCGACTCTCGATCCCGCGGCCGTTTTGCAACCTAAGGTCAGAACTGATATACCTTGCGGTTTGCGCAGGGTCCGATACCCAGATCCTCACGTAGGAGGACTGCATGCATCCGACTCATTTCCGTTTCTAGTCTGGTAGGGCTGCATGCAGCGTGAATCGAGGTTTCAACGTGCCGGGTATTCACCTGTTCAATCCTTGCAGGCCTCTCAAGGAAATGCTTCGTGATGTGGTGGTGTGGTTCGCGGTGCACAGGTTTGTGGACGCTGTTTTTCTTGAAGGTTTAGGCGTCGCCAACTGTCTGGAAGCAGCAGCTTGCACTTGAGTGGATCCGGCAAGGGGAACTTCGACACAGTGCGGAGCAGGTGCAGCTGTCTCAAGCCACTGCTCGTTCGCAGGCAGGTGGTCGAGTGGATCTGGGCAGCAGGCTGCTCAATGAAGACTTGTTAACCTCAAGGCCAGCAGTGACAGAATGCCGCGAAGTTCAGGTGCCACATTTTCTTTGATAGCACTCACATCGCGAAGGATTCATTCGGCGGAAGTGTTGGGAGCGGTCGAGGACTCGTTCTCAGTTTACGCTGAAAAGCCAGGCTGTCGAGGCTCCAAGCTGATGTTGACTCGTGGGGCAGTCTGGCCAGCCTGATGATGCGACTTGTGATTCTGAATCGGGCATCTGCCATATCTGCCCAATTTTCTGTACATTGTGACCCGTGCCGGTATCGTTGTCGCAAGCTGCTGACATCTTCTTGTGCTCGTCTTGGAGCTTCAAGTCAGTTCTGTCTTTCGACTCCGTTTGAAGCATGTCCCACATGTGAGATCGGAAGTCTGGAGACATGGGCGTTAAAGTGAGTAGCATCGTTGTATATCGTTGTCAAACGAATACTTCCGTTACATGTGGACAACCTGCGCGCACGCAGATCGTTTGCTGCAGAGTCTTGCGGCAGGATCATCTCACGCAGAGCATGCCGGGAGGAATGGCCGCGTCGGAGTCTCAGTCTGAGTGCCAACTCTGATACTCTTCTCCAATCTAAGCTGTCCTGAGTCAGTCTCCTTTCTGTTGGTTGCTCGGAGACTTTCCAAGGAATTAAAACGAATCTGCGGCCAGATAGATGCCGTGGATGTATCGTCACGGCGACATGTCATTGCACCGCCAGGAAAAACTCGGCCGCCCTTCAGCAGACCGCCCGGAGCTTGCTGAGCATCTGTAAGTCGTAAGTGTCGGCTTTAGGAAAGCTGGCATGCCTCAGCAATGTGCAGGGGCGTATGCACAAAAAACCCGGAAAATGCTGTGCAAGGTGCTCCTACCACAGTTTAACCTTGGCGGGGCCCTCACGGCATTCGAGGTTCTCTCGATGCTGCAGCATGGGGTGGATGGCGTGCCGCAACCCTGCAGTGAATCAGGTCAAGCATATGCGATGACTATCCAATACGGATATGTCCCGGCCCCAAGCTGTTGGGACCCTTTGTTGTGCTATTGTCTTGTTTCTAGCCGCTGTTTCCTTCAATCACGACGACCATAAACTGCGACAAGCTGCTTTCCGTGTCCGTGCATTTTCTTCTGGTAGGAAAGGGGTAAGACACCTGCGATCGAGTGGAGGGAAGAATGGACAGAGCAGTGAGACAGATGGACCGAGCCACTGAACTTGTGTGAACTGGTTACTTTGCGAGCGAGGTCCTGCGAAGGGCTCAATCACGATTGCAGCACCAGCCTCAGTGCACTTCACAGCCGGAGTTTGCGGCGATGAAAAGCTGCTGTGGTGACTGTAATATACTTCGGAAGGTGTAAGTAAAGCAACGTTCAACCAGCCGTCTTTGCCTGAGTGATCATCACATAAAAGGGCTGTCAGGCGAAAGGGAGTTCGAGGCCACGAACGCAGCTGCATGCGCAGAGTTGTCACAAACCCAAGAAGCGCGATATGGACGCAGCAAGGCTGGAGCGCAGCTTGCATCCGTCCGCCGAAGGCCAAAGGGAAGCAGAGAGCTGGCACACATCTGCAGATTCCTGTTTCCTCTTGGAGCTCTCAATGCTTCGCTTCTTCCTTTATTCTCCACAAAGGCAGCCCTGTGCGAAGCATTACACTTTGCGGTTCGCAGGTTTGGATTCGTTGAGAAGCTATCTGAAGCGCATCGGCCCGGGCATGTTTCAGGACGTCCTGCCAAAAGATTCCATATTGGTTCTATAATCGTCTTGGCGCAATCTCGATTTGCTTTCTTCCCTGGTCTGTATATTAAGTATACTTCTATAAGACTGAAGTGTTCGTGACAGCACTAGGGCACACACACACACTAGGATCAGGTGCAGAGCTAGCAGCTGTCACATCAGCCTTTGTGCAGGACGCCATGGTTTCGGTGGAAGCGCACGTTGCCGCAAAATTGCAGGTAGAAGGCGTCTTCGGGGACCTGCAGATGCTGAAAGGACGCTTCCACAGGGCACGAGCAGCAGAAAACTTACTCGGAAAGCTTCAAAGATAAATCATGCGGTCTCGAGCAGTTTTCGTTGCTCCTTGTCGAACCCCAATGGCCCCATAACCATCTCACGGCCTTTCCTTCCTGTGCAAAGACCTCGTTTCTCACGCTGTTTTGCTGCGTACGAAGGTCGCGCGATGTGCACAAGACAGAGCCTATGCGTTAAACTCCTTTCACTGTGTTGCAGATCCAGATGCAGGACAACTCATGAAGTCGATCGAGAGCAGGCCTGTGCCCAGCCTGCCAACTGTTAGTGTGATGTTCTGAAGTGTCTGTGACATACATGCCGATGTGATGAACTCCAAGCTGACAACACGGTGAGACGAGATGTATGGGGTCAGACTGTCAGACCCAGGACGGTCCTGGGTCTGACCGGAATTTACCATGCTAATCCCGAAAGCTATTGAGTTTTGCCGAATGGATTTTGCTGCGCCCTGGTATCCCAGCTAAGATTCCAGCAGATTCACCCCAATCGTCGTGGACCCGTACGAATGCTACCCCGACCAAGGAAGTGGTAATGCTCAGAAGGGCCCAAAGCTATTAACACCAAAGGAAAGTTAGCACCATGACCTTGTCCACTCCTTACCCGCGCATGGGCGCATGGCTGTACTTGCAGGCGGTCTTCTGGCCGTGACACTGGTGCAATGCTCCAGGAGGCTGTTTCCGCTGGCGAGGCCAGTGCCACTTCGACACACTGCAGCTAGCAGCTTCCACAAACCCACAGGCGAGATGATTCTGCAAGCATTCTGGATGTCGAATGGCGTATACATTGCAGACTCATCCTCAGAAAGCCCATGCAGAGCTGAACTCATCAGGGCACCAAAGAGCTTCCGTCTCTCGTAACTGCCGTAACGCAAGCAATCAGTTGCCAGATTAGGTTGAAGACTGCTTTCGGTAGAGCTGGCAGCTCATGTCATCTCTGACAGACATCCAAGACTAAGCTGCACAGGTTGCTTCGCTGTTGCTGGGGGCGTCTGATGTGCGCAGGCTCCGTCAGTGGGAGCATAGTACCTCTTCTCGTGTCACCCAGTCGACACACTGACACTACACTGACATGCTCGTGGCGAACAGGTAGGCAGAGTAGGCAGGTACACTGAGATTCCTGTCCGTGGCTGCAGGCTTCTTCTCGAAGCCGCTGCTTTCGGGGCACTCTTGTGGGAAGCGGAGTCGAAGGTCCCAACTGGACATGTCAAAGTTTGAAGATCTCGAGCTTGTCGCCAGTTTCTCCTGTCGAGGCTGCAGAGTTGGCCTCTTTAGTGCCATCAAAGCAACCGCGTTGGAGCCCCACGGGTCGAGCCAACCACATAATCACCACTTTGACGGGTCTCGGAGACCTTGGCCGCCCAGGCCTCTCCGACTTCGGAGTGCAAGCCGACGGTGCGCCGCTTCCCCTTGAGGTCTTGAGACTTTGTGGAGGTCTGGGTGCGAGTCTTCGTCGCAACCAGTTGACTCAGAGCCTTCGGACTCAAACTCAGGGCTTCGCGCAGTGCCAGAGCACACAACACAGGAGACAGCCGGGGCAAAGAGTGCAAAGCCCAGTATATTACAGCCGCTCCGTTGCCTCGACGGGCCCGCCGAAGAAGCGTTTTTTCGATCAATTTCTCAACCTGTAGCATGCTGTAGCACCAAGCATCAGCTACCAGTTTCAATCCTTCAGGCGTGCTAAGGGTATCTAAGGGTTCTGCATGCTGACGCTAGTGTGATGGTGGACCTAGGGAGCCCAAGCTTGCTGCGCAGGTGATGGCAATCCCGTCGTTCCAGAGTCTGACTGATCACGCAGCTATCGGATATCGCAGCCCGTGTACCTCTCGTGAAGGGTCCGACCTGTACAGGGATGTGGCGAGCAAAAGGGTTCCAGCGAGCAGCAAATCCTGTTTCAGGAAGAACGGCAAGCTCTTGGTCTTCGTGCATTGGAGCGCAAACTTCTTCAGAAACAATCGTCATTTGTCAAATGACTTGATAAGTACTGCAAGATGTCTCTGCTGTGCTGCCAGGGAACAAAGCAGTCACCATCCGCACCGTGGGATCGCCTGCTGGAGCCCTGCCAGGCCACCAAACCCGCTGATGCTCTTTGTGCTCACACGCAGTGCTTGCCCACGTACCGTTGACCAGCACATCACTTCAGTGACGTCATCAAGTCAGAGTGTTTAGATGGACAGACAAGCCACAGATAAGCTGCCAGGCTCGCGCTTCTGCCTCCGAACCCTGCTCCTCGTGGGGTTCATCATCGTCGACACTGGACAGGTCACAGCAGTCAAGTGCATGTTGAACTGCACGACTTTTTGATGGTGAACAAGGTTTATGGGTGGGGGCTGTTTGCCGGCAAAACTATACGTTCACACGTGGCCAGCTGTTCCGTGTCCAAGCTTGCGACCCTCATGTTTTCAGTGGGAGGAGCCCGGCAAGCTTTTCGGGTCCAGTCACACGTCCACGGCCAAATCGTGTCAGCAGAGCCTGGCTTGTCGATCACCTCTGTGGTTCTGCATCTACTTTCTTGAGTTAGCACCCCGATGATGCATTCCTCGATCCGTGCCCGGTGCGGCATTCCCTTCAGCCGCTCCTCAGCCATGGACTTCAACTTAGATGGTCTTGGTGAACAAGCATTGTTTGTGCTGGGGTATTTCTCGGATTAATCATTCTTGCACTGCTGTGCATCTGGGAGTTGATTTGTGCTTAATGCTCGATGATGTCTTTGAGAAGGCCGCTTGGCAGTGCCAGGTGGGAGCATATGGAGCTTCTGATACAATGGGATACATCGGATTCCTGTAGGCAGCCGTTGCTACTTTTTAGCCTTGTGCCGCATGGTCGGCAGTTCTCTCCATCGCCTGTTACTTTGTGTGGATGTGTTTCAATCGACTGATGCCATTTGCGTGACGCCCAGCACGCGGCATCTGTGGTTTGTTTGGCCTTCCGGTTGCCTGCCTCGTGAGCAGTTGTTTCTTTTCAGCTCCTCTTCGTTCCACAGTCGCTGGGGTGAAATGGTTGCAAGCTTCTGTGTTTCTGGTTGCGCAGCATGCCTCAAGACTCAAACAATTGATTGGAACCGCACTGTCCAATCATTCATTTGTCAAATTGGTTGCCCGCAGCCTTGCGCGCAAGGAAACCTTGGCTGGGCACTTCTCTTATTACTAACTTATTACCTGCAAACGCGCAAGCAAAAAGAGAGCAGCGAGGAGCGTTAAGCCTTTCGGCCTTTCCTCCCGCCGATTTGGTGGATGTGGGCAGGAGTTCAAGCTTCCGTTCTGCAAAGCCTTTGCTAGAACGGTTCTTGTCTCATGCTCGCTATGTGGTCCGCGCCTCGCCACGGTGCTAGGCACGAGACGTTAACGTGATCGAAATAATATGCATGTTAAGGGGGTTTACATGGCCCTGTTCTGCTCCTCCTGCCGGGGCACTCGTGTTGCACCAGAGTCCGGAGTCCGATACTTCATCTTGTGACATGAGGCCCTGGTGATGGACTGGGCGGAGAAGCGATCATGGAAGGAGGACCGCAACGGCACACAGCGGCTCGGCTGGGCTTTGGGGTTCTTCAGGGCAGGTGCCTTTGTAGCGGCCTGCAGTCCCTTACCCAGCAGAAACAAAGCAAATCCAATTAGGAGCCGGGCAGTCTCGCTACGGGATCCAAATTTGTACAGGCTGCTGTAACTATGTGGATACTAATGGGGAACCCTGTGAAACCTTGTACACCGAGCAAGGACTGCCAGACTGCGTTGTCATTTTGGGTGTTCTGTCGTGGCATCAAGAATGAATCCACTTCTGGAAATGCATTTCCGATACTTTCTTCAATGGAGCAAGGTGCCGGTTGGTTGTGTGGAGTTTGAAACCTGCAAGTTGACAGTGATCATCACCTGTGCATTCCCCAACGGCCTGTCGCTGTTCAAGTCACTGAATAGCTCTGCACGGAAATTGGCTTCCACAAGTCGCCGAGAGGAACATCTGAACAGCAAGCTTGAACTGAAACCCTTTGCTCGTGCACATCTAGAACATGCTACATATCAACGCCTTTTCGTCCCTATGTGCAACACGACCAGGGCTGGTCCAAATGCCACTTCGACAAGTACGTATTCTTGCTGATATCATTGCCTTTACATTCACAGGTTCACAACTTGCCGAAGTGTTTTGGGAGCACCCTGCAGCTACATTGGGTTTATCGAGTCTACACCGATACCAATCGTGCATACTGTTGCAAATTTTCCTTCATGTCATGTCGTCTTGGGATTGCGAGCCCTCGCAAAGAGTGTTGAGGTACGTGCGCCAGACCGCATTGGTTGTGGAGTCTGGATTCTCCGTCTTTACAGGCAAGGATGCAGTGCGGTGCGCCTCGGCACGAGGGTGCGACCACGATGCAGGTCTGACATTTGCATTAATTCTCGGTGGGCTGCCTGAGCTCTACTCGTCCTTCTGGCCGCTTTTCTTGCGGGTGCTGAGCTTAGCTTGCGAGTAGCTACAGACCAGCGCTACATGGCTCAATGCCAGCAGACCAGTCTAAACAGCTTCAATGTGATTTGCTTCGGGCATCCAAACCTGGCTGCAGTTTTTCCCCATTGCCGTCTTCTTTGCTGTGGGCTTGTCGCTTAAGATGATGGCGGTGAACCATTTTCAGGCAGACAGAAGGGGAGCATCAACCTGTGAAGATCTTTCACTAGAAGCGATGCTGCCTGCTGAACCAAATGAATGGCTCCTGAAGTAGCCTTTCACTTGTGAGAGAATTAAGCCCGCTGCTTGGAGGCTGGGACAATCAAGATTGTTGGTCAGCTACGGTCTGTAAGCTTGGCCTTCGCAGCATGCCCGTCAAACGACCCGTCACCCCTCTGTCCTGACATGGAACCGAGGCTTGCATTTGTCGCTTTGGCCTCAACCTTCATTCTTGCTCGAACGTGACCTTGCATCGTTCTATTTCGTTGGCGTACAACACGGCTCCAGATCCCATGCTCGAGCCGACCAGGTACAGCTCCAAGCAATGGACCGCCATCGCTTTCGTAACGGTTTTCTGCGTGCCGCAGACTCGGCTGTTTGCGGCCTGTTGTGAACTCGCAGCTCATTGTTGGGACCGTTGCATGCCGTGAGCACTATCCTCCCAGCCTGCTCACGGAGTTGGCTGGAACCGCTGCACTTTGGAATCCCGAAATTTTCTGAGGCTGTTTGTCCAGCAGAAGGGCCAGGGAAGGCAGACTCGGCATAGAGTGGAAGCAACTTGCGAATCTGGTGCTGTCGAGGAGTCAGCGCGGAAAAGCTTGGAAATGGACCGGGTGCAGCTCCAAGTCTGCATCTCTTGCTAGCCGCACGCTTGTAAGGATTAGTCTACTGCTGTCAAGGCTGTCGCAGCTCTTTGGATGGGTTTGCATGAACGTCATCGGCGGCATTTTGGCAGAAAAGACGTGCCCCCACTGCCCGAAAATGCACGTCATGCCACCAGCGGGCTTTGCAAACGAAGTGCCGCTGAGTTGCAAACTATTGGACAAATCTGGCTGAGCAGGTACAAAAGCAGCGCTGGCCCTTACTACGTCCAAAAAGTGGCTCAGGCAGGATGCCTGCCGTGATCTGCCCTGCCAACATGTGTTTCGCAAGTGCGGCAGGATCTTGGGCACCTGCTGACGTCAACTGTCATGCTTATGGCCGTGGGTGGCTTGGAAATTCTGCCGGTGCGTGGGCCGGTAGGGAACAAGATGTGCTGCACGGGCCAGGTTGTGCCACGCTTCGATCCTGGCGAGGAGTTCCATTTCTGCTTGCACACAGGCACTGTCAGGCTGAAGGCTCTGTGATTCGTACTCGTACACTCATACTCGTACCATCCAGCTGTATGTCGACAAGCAACCGGCAGCAAATGACATGCTGCCAGGAGTAGCATCCTGGGAGAGACGATGTAACATGCAGCATAATCTTCAGAAGATTAGCTTGGTTTCTACTTCTCGATGAGATACTGCGCAACTTCCAGCTGAGTTGGCTCGCAAGCACTCGGAACCTTGACGGTCAGAGACTTGTGGGCATCTGGCTAGGCTAGAACGGCAGAAGTGCACCTCATCGTCACTAGCTGGTCAGAAAGGGACAGATGCCTCAATACGATCCAAGGCATTGCAGATGAAGTGCAAACCTCCCCAATCCAACAGAGTTGCCCGTGCCATCGCTCTGCCTCAAGGCTGTGTGTCTTTGCGTGTGTGTAGTGTCGAACCGGCGACCGGCCCACCTGCATCGGCAATGGAACCCATCCTGGAGACGGAAGAAGCTGAGTCGAGCTTGCGAAGCTCGCAGACGAGTCCAAGGTAGCTCGGACTAAAATCTGGAAGCGCAGGTCTCAATGCAGGCCGCAGGCCGTGTTTAGGAGTCGAATCAACTTATGCTTGTTTTCACGATGCTTGCCAAAGATGACTAAAGTCACGACAAGTTCGGAATTTCCAGGGCATCGCGGCCTCTTCCATCTTCTGCTCAATTTGAGGAATTGTCCCGTGCGGGCCTTGCTGAATGACAGGGATTTCCTACAGGATCTTTCAGGTGCAAAGTTGGACAAGTCTCTCCGCTGAGGAAGTCTGGCCACGATCAGGGCTGGCCTCGAAGTGGGAGATCCCAAGTTTGGGATGAGCCAGCCCCTCAGAGTCCTCAGAGTCCTCAGAGTACAGTGGGTTTCGACCTTGGATGCACGGAGCTGCCACGGGTTTGTGGCTCTTCCTGATGTCCCGGAAACCGCTGCCATATGGTTCCGACGAAGCGGTAGTTGCGAGCCGATGATTCAAGATTCGGCTTCGGTCGAGCGATGCTGGCCTGGTTTGCGGCTTCAGAAGGTGTTCGACTCGCTTGTAGTGTGTGGCTGTGTAGTGAACTCAGTGAACTCTGATCCTTTGGTTCACGCTTGTCACTTGTCATTTCGCTTGATCCTTTCTCTACATTCAGAAAGCCTCGATTCCTGGGTGAAATTCTCAGGCCCTCAAGTTTCACATCAACTGCCCTGGCCCGTAGATCATTTTGCATTGACACTGGTCGTTTGGTCTCGGCAGGCCACGTCTACGTAATTGTGACATGATCGATCGCTGATGCTCAGGGGCCTTGCAGCGGGGTCTTTTGTGCCTGCGGCTCAAGAAGAACCACAGCTTAGCACCGTCCGGCATTTGTTCACAGCGTGCTGAAGTAGATGAGGTGGCTGCTGGTGTTTGCCTCGCTTGCATTGTCAGCTGGCTCTGAGTCTACAGGTGGCTCCAAGAAATGCAAAGGGAGCTACGCCAACCCGGTTGTGAACCTATGCTCCGAGCATTGGCCTGATGCAAAGTCAACTCGTGTTTGGATGGTCGTTTTCTACACCTCCTGGTGTGGGCATTGTCGGGCTTTGGAGCCGAAGTATAAAGAGCTCGGAAAGCTTTTGAAGAACGACAAATCGATTGGCATCGGTGCCGTGGACTGCGATATTGATCGGGCCACCTGCTCCAAGTATGGGGTCAGCGGCTTTCCTGCTCTGAAGGCAATAGTAAGTGGCAAGGGTAAGTCATACAATGGAGCAAGGGAAACAGAGCCGATGAAGGCATGGATCGAAGGTATCGCAAAGAATCGAGGTACAAAAGGTGGCAGCGCCAAGTGTGCCGTAGGACTTTTCAAAAGTCGAGTGAAGGATGCAGTGGTACCCCTTTGTGAGGAGCATTTTCCAGATGACAAGGCAAAGAACGACTGGCTCGTCCTTTTCTATAACTCCAAGAGCAGCGCAAGCACCGATCTCAAGGAGGTGCTGCACAGGCTCGCTGTCGACTTGGGCAATGATCCTCCCGATATGAGCAAGTCGCTCAAAAAGCCAAAGAAAAAGCGTGAGAGACTTGAGTCCTTGGCGGAGAAATACGACTTTGCAGTGGGCTTGCCGAATAAAGGCCCGTTTGGCATGGATGCTTTGGCGAAGGTGGGCGGTGTCTGTTGCGACTGCAACGAGGATGCAGTTGCATTCTGTGCTAGTTCCCTCAGGATTGGTGAGGAGGATGTGCAGGCTCCCCAAGTTTTCTGGGTGTCCAAGGGTCATCGCGAGCTTTTGAAAGACGCAGATATGTCGGCGCCAAGTCTCAACAAGCTTGCAGTCTCGAAGCTGGGATTCGTTTCCGGTGGCGCCCGTGCCAGCCAGGGCGGTGAGCTCTGAGTGCCGGTACCGGGTAGCTTGGCTTCGGGCGGTCGCTTCTCGAGTCGCCCATCCGTCAAGCGACCGAAGTCGGCCGAGGAGGGTGAGACTCGCAGTCGTCAGTGGATTTGGTCTGGCGCAGCCGTACAGCGGCAGTGTGGCCGCAATATGCCACAATCTAGTCCGCAAAGACAGGGTGTTGGCCAAAAGTATGTAATCTAGATGTTGGGGAGACATGATTATCTGGTGCTGTGCAAAGCGCTCAGCTGCCTACCTTCTCCACAGGCCGTCTTCTCAGTGGGCTGACACCCTTTCCGCGAGCGGCCGTTTTGTCCTCTCAGCAGTTTCACAGAAGCAAGTGCACCTGCCTGTGCAGGAAATGAGACCGCTGCTGCAGCATGCCGCAGCAAACCAAGAAGTATGCAAAAGAACCCTGCGCAAGAGCTTCAAAAGCCTCAACGTAGATGCTCCGCACGGAGCACATGCCAGACTTCGTACCGTACGAGTAGCATTCATGTGTGGCATCAATTAGGCCCGGCTGAACTGTGCACTCTCCACTTGTGCATTGCTTTATCGGCCTCGTAATTCACCTCGAGCCCGGCCGTGCAGAAAAATATGAGGACGCGCATGTCGCACTGTCGCATCATGAGTCAATGACTTTGCCAGGTGGGTCGAAACTGCATGGAAGCCCAGCTTCGGATCTGATGCCTTCTCGTAGTGTCCGAAAATGGATCAGTCTTGTACGAATACAGTCATAGTGACGCCGTCGCGAAGCGCAAGGCATCGCACCTCTGGAACTCACGGGCGATATTGCAGGGACAAAGACTCTCAATTGATGGAGGATGTCTCAAGCATCGCAGTTTCTGTGTCGACACGACGTCACATTTGACATGTAGCACCGGTTAGGCAGGCATGGCGATCGGAGTGAAATGCTGCATGAATTGGTGCTTAAGCTAAGGTCTGCAAGAAGCGAAAGAAGTATATCTGAAGATTGAGGACCTGACTCCCGCTCAAGCCCGTCAGCACAGTAAACACGTCCGCGACGGTAAGCCCGGTAAGCATCAGGTTTTGGTATCCTGTATGCTTAACTGCTTTATGATTAATGGTCTGTTAACAACTGTTTTCCAGCTGCGAGGGTTGGTGGGTCGGAAGGACCGACACAGAAAGAGAGAGAGAGAGAGAGAGACCATTTTCCACTCGTGGCACCTGCAACAGTCGGGGGCGCTAACGCGCGCGGTGTAGGGGGTTTCCCCCTGCACCACAGCCCTGGCGAAAGAAAGAAGTGAGACCGTAGCCATTTTGGCTCAAGTCACCTGCCGCGCCCCTTGAGGGTGCGCTCGACACCGGCCCTTGGGGCGGAAGAGAGTTGTCTCTTCCGACCCGGCGGTGGACGCGTGTCTGAGCGGGGGCGGCTTCAGGCCATCCGTGCAGCGTTTCGGCTGGCAAGGGCCCCAGACCCTGACCCCTCACCTCAGGTGAGGGTGGCCCAGCAGTAGGGGGGGGCAACATGCCATTTCAACGAGGATCTCGAGGCACAGACGGCGACTCAGAGGGACTTTCAGAACGCTCCACCTGATGCACCAGCAGAACCTCCTCCTGGAAGGCGCAGACGAGCAGACGACGAAGGAGCACACAACTGGGAGGGGGACACCGCGGAGGGAGAGATCGTGATTTTGGCAGGGACGCCAAGAAGGAGAAGCACACCTACACAGGAAGATCCCACGACGGGGGAGAAACGCCGAAACCGAGGGCGGAGAAGGAGAAGAAGACAAAAAAGCAAGGACCGCTGATGATAGGAGGTGTCCGCTGCTGCCCGAGGTGCCTGACAGGAGGACACAAAGGCCGTGGAGGCAAGCACTATGCACACGACAGGCTGGCGGCAGACTGCATCCTACATGGTAGTGAGGCACAAGGCGGAGCAGCCAGGAAGCTCATCGTGGAAGTTGCGGAGAGCCACGTATGGGAGGACGGGACCAGAACCATCCTCGAACCTCACCGTGGCAGGAAGTGAAGGACCACACCCTTCAAGATGGCCAGACCAGCAAGTACGAGGGGCACCGCGACCTCGAGAGCCAAAGTAGCCCCCGCCACCACAGGCGAGAACCAAGCCCGAAGCAAAGAATAGGAGGCCCCCGTCCTCGTCGTCCTCTTCCTCAACCACCAGTTCGACAAGCACGACCCAGAAGAAGGACGGCAACCTGGGAACAGGCACAGTCGACGGGGGGACAGAGTCACAGCCGAGGGGACAAGCCGCACGAGAAGAACAAGGAGACCAAGAAAGGGAAGACCTCCTCAGCAGCGACGAGGTCATCCAGGACTTGGCTCTCATGGACATCCTCAACTACCAGACCGTGTGAGATGGGGACAAAAAAGGCGAGGCAAAAAAAGAGGAAAACGACGAACACCAAGAAGGAGACCACCAAGGCGGCCACCAACAAGCAAGAAGACCAAGGCGGGCGACCAGTCGGCGAAGGGGTCAAACCAGGGAAGCCCCGCCGCTGCGGAGCAGAGACACCCCTGGACGATGGAGAGGCACACTACCTTGTGCCACAACCGAGCAACTGGGTATCAGGGACTACGAGACCTGCTGAGCCAACGCGGAGACACACTGGACAAAAAGGAGGAAAGCTACGGGAGGAACTCGCGCAGAAGGTCATGAGGACTGCAAAAAGGATGGACATGAACAAGTGAGGTGACAGTTTTCCTTTCCGGTGGGCACCACCGTTGCAAGCTGTCTGATGCATGGTTGTCAGTGCCACCTTTCCTTTTCCAACAGACTAGGAACTGCGAGCAAAGCTCTTTCCGTGTACCACTCGTTCAACTCACTCTCTTGGAGGCACCAGCTTGTAAAGCCGGGCGCTTTGATGAATTCGCTTAAAGGGACCTCAAACCTTGCATATCGTCAACCAAACATGAGGTGTGCCCCACCCAACACAAGGGTGGAGGGCCGGTAATTCGGGCACGTTTTTGTCCCCGCAAGCCTTTGTTTTCAGCAGTCTCATGGAAACTCATGGGGGCACACGCCTTTACGTACTGCTGCTCTACTTAGGGTCGTGCACACTCTTGCCCCCCCGCAGGCTCCAGCACAGTGCGAGGCACTCGTTGCTCCTAACCAAAGTACAGCCAAGCCCCTCTGTCAAAATGATGGATGGGGATGGGCCTCGGCCCGGGTTGGGAGGTAACTCCTCCTGACTTTAACCTTAGCAAAGCAGAGCAAAGAGAGACCTGTAATACATTGGGTGGTTGGGCGGGCCAATGGCCTGAGGGTCAGGCACACCGACCCCTGAGCCCAGCAGAAAGAAAGAAAAAGACTTGTTTCCACGTGTACCAGTACCAACAAGCCAGGGGAGCTCCGGCGCAAGTAACAACACAAGAGTAAGCACACTACAGCTGGCGTTTTGAGCTCGGGGGCATAGGACAAACGTGAGTTCTCCTCTACGGTGTTTGGTAACCTTCTCCCTTTGCTAACTTATTACCCACAGAGCCCACGCCTTGCAGAGCTCAAAGCCAGTAAAGTGTAGCGGGCTGAACCCAGTTCTTCAGCATTACTGTTGTTTAGGGGTTTTGGCTGTCTTTAGAGCCTGCCAACACAAGTACCCACAATGACGGGGGCACCAACCAACGAAAGCTAGTGAGAACCGACACCCGTGGGAGTCGGGGATGACAGTCAATTTTCATGCCGACAAACCAGACACGGACTAAGGCAAAGCGCCCAGGCACAAGCGGTAGGGAGCATGCTTCCCTGTCCCCACATGCCCTGCAAGCAAGCAAGCGAGCGAGCGAGCGAGCAAGCAAGCAAGCAAGCATGCATGTTTCCACGGGTGTCAAGCACTGGGGCACATGACTTCCTCTCCGGGCACACGCCCCTGTGTAGCCAAGCCCATCCGTCCAACATGGTGCCTGTTCTCCAAAGCGCCTGAGCAAAACAGACAGAGAGAAGGAGAGAGAGAGAGAGAGGGAGAGAGACAGCCTATAAACCCCTGCGCCATATGCGAAAGAAAGAGACAGCTTATGCGTTGGCTTGCCTGTTCCCTTCTGGAGGTGAACATTGGACGGCAGGAGCAGTAGCCTAGTTGGAGTTCGCCGATCTAGTAAGCCTCTCCGCAACGGTCGGGGGCGCTAACGCGCGCGGGCGAGGGGGGCTTGCCCCGCTTGTCCGTAGCCCTGGCGAAAGAAAGAGAGAGACAGAGAGAGAGAGCTTCCGTAGCCATTTTGGCTCAAGTCGACCTGCCGCGGGGGGGCGCTTGAGGACGGCCCTCTGAGACTGCTGGCTGTCCCCAGCAGCCTTGGAGGGTGGACGTTCCTTTCAAGCGGAGGGAGGCTTGAGTCTTATGCCTGCTGCCGCTTTGCTTCAGAGGCCCTGTGGGGGGGAAAGGTCCCTGACCGTGCGCCATATCCGTGAAGGTAACGATCGAACGCTACGACCTTGAGGGGAGTTCCGTGACTGCAAGAACTTCGTCCTCAGCACGCTTGCCGGGGAGAGCACGTTCCACTGCCCCCACGACTCGTTTTTGTTTGCCATTACGCCGATCACCCGCTACCCGGACGCTGGGTGGGGGCGGTGGGGGAAACCTTCAACTACCAGGACGTGAATTTGGCAAGAAGGACAAGATAGTGAAGATCAACCTACGGGGGGATGGCGAAAGAATGCAAGCTTTGTAAGTTCGGGGATGGTACATGCACCACAGGTTTCCGCAAACAACATGAGTGTACAGACCCAAACTGCCGGTTGCATGGGGTAACGGATAGGGGGAACAGCAGACCTCGACAGTCGTCAGAAGCCGCACCGAGTAATCAGCCACCCCGCCCAGAAGGGGGAACTGCAACTTCCTCTTTGCAGCCGCTGTCGGAGATGACCCAGTTCCGGACGAGGCAGGGGAACTTGATGTTGTTCATGCCTCAGCCCATGGACAGCTGGATTGGGAAAGAGGTCCTTGAAGACCAGAGTGCCGGGAGATACAGAGATGCCGCCGCAGGGAAACTACTTACCAAGAAGCTAGCCGCGTCGTACATGGCCTTCT